TCTGTAGGGACATTGTAGGAGGATAGGGAGATAAGATGTATAAACAAAGTACTGTAACATAAGTAATGTTGAGAGGTTTACAAGATGTCCAATAAGAAAAGAACAAAATAATATTTTATTTAAGAAGAGAAGTAATTTCCCATATGAAAGGTGAACATTGGAGGAGGCTTTCATGGAAAAATATGACATTCAATGAAGAAAAACAATGAATTTGGTTTTTGAGTGGTTGATTTTGATAAACTTGTAGGGCATCCAAGCATATCCTTGGAGGGAATTAAAATACATGATGAGAGCTTGGGAGAAAGGTCAAGCTTGAGAAAAATTGTGGAAGTGATCTTCATCAAACAGAGAGTTGAAGCCAAAGAATTAGATGTGCTCACCAAAGAAGAGAACATAAAAGTATAAAAGAAGGAAGATCAAGAATCAGACCCACACAATATGTATATTTAAAGGGAAAGGGGAGCTAGATGATCTAGCCAAGAAAAGTAGTGTTCAGAAAGGCAATAAGAAAATCAGGATAGTGTGGTGTCATCGAAGTTAAAAGGGGAGAAAATATGCAGAAGGAAGGGGTGGCCCAAATATCAAAGGATATGAAGTCATTATGATGAAGCCTGATAAAAATATTCTGGATTTGTCCATCAAGATGCCACACACACTTTGAAAGAGTGTTAGACTTTCTAGGTTAGAAACAAGATTCCAAAGGGTTTATAGAATGTCTATATTTGGGGAAATGATTTGTCAATGCTAGGCTTAACATGAGAAGGCTGATCACCAGATAATGACTATTGTTCAATCCCCCAAAACTAATGAAGAGTATCCATGAAGTTTCTTCCTTCCTCCATATTGTTGAAGTGCTGAAGTAATCTGTTATTTAGGAAAATGTATTTGGTCCAAGAAAACTCTAAGAAAACTCTCAACTTTGGGTTTCAGTTTGGGTTATAGATAAAGGCTGGGGGGTGAGGATGGGAATGTGGTACATTGGAAAAGACAGTGGATTTGGAGCCAGGAAATCTGAGTTTGAATCAAGTTCTGGTAAGAACTACGGGCCTTGGGTAGAACACTTCATTTTACCTCTTTGGGCTGCTGTTTCCTCATACATAAAATGAAAAAAATTTACAACATTATTGCTCAGGTCCCTTCCAGGTCAAAATTCCATGATTATAGATTCTCTTCTCACTACTAGCAGCCTCTAATTCAAAAGTGTCTGATCATGGTTATATGTTGAGCATCATCTGTGGTCAACTGAATGTCAATTAATTTTTTAGAGCTCATATTTATTGCCTTTCTCCATTAGAATGTAATCTCCTTGATGGCAAAAAACATATTGTTTGTGTTTGAATCCCTAGCATAGTATCTAGCATATAGTAGTTGCTTATTAGTTACCTTTTTCTTCCTTCCTTCCTTCCTTCCTTCCTTCCTTCCTTCCTTCCTTCCTT